ATTATGCTATATTTTGAGTATAGTTTGTATATTCCCTAAGGGTTCATAAGAGATTTTTCATAGGTTAGTGGTATTAAGAAGTTGAGGAATCAATTGTTAAGATTTATTCATTTATTTACTTTAAAGGGAGAGAGAAGAGAGAGAAGGAGAGGTATCTTCCATCCACTGCTTCACTCCCCAGATGGCTGCAACAGCCTTGTCTGGGTCAGTCCAAAGCCAGGAGTCAGGAACTAGTAACCCCATCTTGTCCTCCCGTATGGCCCAACAATTGTGTCATTTTCTGCTGCATCCCACACATAATAGCAGTATTCTGGATTGGAATCAGAGTGCCAATGACTTGAAATTGTACCCTCAACTCTTGCTAGTGGTAGCTTAACATGCTGAGCCACAATGCCAGCCCTGTAGTGGAAACTTTAAGAGGTAGAGCTAAGTGGGAGGATTTAGGTTATTGAGAGTCATTCCCTTAGAATAAAGTAATTCTTACAAGAGGACTGTTATTTAAGCCTGATCCTGAGCCCACTTATTTTCTGCTTACTTGTTCAAAATGTGGTCACTTGCTGTCACAGTGCTCCTGCCATTGCAATCCACCATGTTGTAATGCAACTGAAAAGGACTCCAACCAGAACTGGTTAGCGTGGATGCCATATCCTTGAACTTTCAAAACTATAACCAAAATAGGTCCCATTAGCATGAAGGCTGTCTCAGGTATTTTTTGTGGTAATAAAAATGGACTATTATTCCTTACAGCTGATATAACTGGAATGCAAAGTATTGTTAGAGACTATTATGAACAAATATGTGCCAACAAATTGGGAATTCTGGAAGAGGTGGATAAATTACAGGAAATAAAAAAGGAATTACAAAAGACATACAATATCTAAATGTACAAATAAATATCAGACTGAATTAGTAATAAAATGTCTCTTTCACTAAAAGAGCAGACACCTCACTAATCAACAGAGGCATAGTCCAAAGATAAAAGCCATTACCGGGTAAAAAATAAACCAACAAGTATCTCCACAAGTGCCTAAAAATAAATGCAGCAATTCAAGAAACAAGAATAAGGATGACAACATGATGCCCCCATAGGAACACAGCAACACTTAAATACTAGGATGTGAAAATGAAGAGACTGAAGAAATGCCAGAAATGGAGTTCACAAAATTGATCTTAGGATTACCCAGAAGTAATCAGAAGCAAATACACAAACTAAAGATCCATACATGACTTGAAAGAAAATTTTTCTCATGAAATTGATATTTTAAAGAGATATCTAAATGAAATATTGGTAATGAACAATTCAATAGAACAAATAAAAAATGCAGTGGAAAGCCTTAACAGCAGACTTGGTGAAGCAGAAGAAAGAATATCCAAGTTAGAAGACAAATCTGTGGAAATTTTACAGTCAAATAAAAAAAAAAGAAATCAGAAAACTAAAAAACAGTGGCAGATCTATGGGATACTATCAAATGACCCAACATATGGGTCTTTGGAGTTACTGAAGGTGTGGAAAAAGAGAATGGATTAAAAAGCCTTTTTAGTGAAATAATTACAGAGAATTTCCCTAATTTGGAGAAAGAAAGGGACATCCAAGTACAAGAAGCACATAGAATTCTTAATAAACATGGCCAGAAAAGATCTTCACCATGACACATTGTAGTCAAACTCTCCACAGTAAAACATAAAAGATTCTGAAATGTGCACAACACCAGATTTCTTTCCAAGAATCTCCAATTGGACTCACAGCTGACTTCTCATAAGGAACCCTACAGGTTAGGAGAGAATGGTGAGATATATTCAAGGGATTAAGAGAAAAAACTGTGAACCCAGAATACTGTACCCTACAAAGCTCTCATTTATGAATGAAGGTGAAATAAAGACCTTCCATAACAAACAGAAATTAAAAGGATTTGTCAATACTTGTCCAGCCTATAAAAGATGTGATACACACAGAAACATGGTCATCATGAAAGAAGGTGAAGGCAGAAAATCTCCCAGTAAAGGTACAAAGGAAATTCAAAGTAAATAATAGGAATATTTATGGGAAAATGGCAGGGCCAAGTCATTACTTATCACCTTGAATGTAAATGACCTCAACACTCCAGTTAAGAGATACAGACTAGCTGAATGGAAACAAAACAAAACAAAACCCATCTGTTTGCTGCATACAAGAAACACATCTCACCAACAAAGATACATGCAGACTGAATGTGAAAGGATAGAAAAAGATATTCCATGCTAGCATAAACTAAAAAAGAGCTAGTGTAGCCATCCTAATATCAGAAAAAATAGACTTTAACACAAAAATTGTTATGAGACAAAAAGGGGCACTCTGTAATGATTAAAGAATCAATTCAGTAGTAAAATGTGACTATAATAAATGCTTACGCACCTAACTACAGGGCACCTGGCTATTTAAAAGAAATGTTAATGGATGTAAAGAGAGACAAAAACTCCCCTACAATAGTAATGGGGGACTTTAATACCCCACTTTCAGTAGTGGACAGATCAACCAGACAGAAAATCAGCAATGAAACAACAGATTTAATTGACACTGTAGACCAGATGGACCTAATGGATATCTACAGAACTTTTCATCCTACAGTTGCAGAATACACCTTATTCTCACCAGAGAATGGCACTTTCTGTAAGATAGACCACAGGCCAGGTCATGAAACAAGTCTCAGCAAATTCGAAGGAATCAAAAATGATACCATGCATCTTCTCTGGCCACAATGGAATAAAGCTGGAGATCAATGACTTGAGAGTCTCAAGAATATATGGAAACACATAGAGACTGTTCAGTTTCCTGAATGGACAGTGGGTCATAGAAGAAATCAAAAGAGAAATCAATAAATTGTTAAGGAACAGTTTGTTTTTTCATACTATTTGTTGAAATAATAATATAGCATTAATCTTCTGTGTATAAAGTTAATTGAAAGAAGATCTTAGTGAAAAAGAAGAATGGGAATAGGAGAGGGAGGAGGAAGAAGGGTGGGAATGGGGTTGGGAGGGTGGGTACAATGGGAAGACTACAATCACTGTGTTCCTAAAGTTGTATTTATGAAATGCATGAAGTTTGTATACCTTAAATAAGATGTCTGGGGAAAAAATGTCTCTTAACAAAGAAAGACTGAGACCAAATTAATTTCACTGCTCAATTTTACAAAACATTTAAGGAAATACTAATATCAGCTCTTCTCAATTTTCGTTCCAAAAATTTAAAAGGACACTGTCAGACTCATTCTGTGAAATCAGCATTACCCAAATATCAAAACCAAAGACAAAATAAAGACTACAGATCAGTATCCTCAATGAGCATTGATGTAAAAATTCTCAACAAAATGGTGTCAAGCCAAATACAATAGCACACCAAAATGATTACATGCTATTATCCTGTGTGATTTATACAAGAGATTCAAATATCTCTCAACATTTACAAATCAATAATGTAATAGAGCAATCAACATATTGAAGGTCAAAAATCCTATGATTATCTCAATGGATGTAGGAAAAAATTAAATGAAAATAGACTTTCATGATGGAAACCTTCAACAAATTAGGTATAGAAGAAACATATCTCTTGGCGCCTGTGCTGTGGCACAGGGGGTTAATGCCCTGGCCTGAAGCGCCAGCATCCCATATGGGCACTGGTTCTAGTCCCAGCTGCTCCACTTCCGATCCAGCTCTCTGCTGTGGCCTGGGGAAGTCAGTGGAGGATGGCCCAAGTGCTTGGGCCCCTGCACCACGTGGGAGACCCGGAAGAAGCTCTTGGCTCCTGGCTTCGGATTGGTGCAGCTCCAGCCATTGCAGCCATCTGGGGAATGAACCATTGGATGGAAGACCTCTCTCTCTCTGCCTCTCCTCTCTCTGTGTAGCTCTGACTTTTGAATAAATAAATAAATCTTAAAAAAATAAATAAAATACATTTTCTAAAAAAAAGAAGAAACATATCTCAACACAATAAGGATTACATGAGAACATGACAAAGACATAGATCATGCTAAAAGGGGAGAAGCTGAAAGTGTTTCCTGTAGACCTAGAACAAGACATGAAGATCTACTTTCATCAGTCACATATGCATTCCCATGTTGACTGCAGCACAATTCACAATACCCAATATATGGGAACAATCTAAATGTCCAAAAGTTGTTGAACTAATACATAAAATGTGATACATATACAAAAATTCAATACTATTCAAACATAAAATAGATGAAATCTTGTCATCTTCAACAAACATGGATGGAACTGGATGACATTAAGTGAAATAAGCCAGGCACAGAAAACTCCCATATATTCTCATTCATCTGTGAAAGCTAAAAATGTTGATCACATGGGATGAGAGAGTATAATACTAATTAGTAGAGGATACTTAGGGAAGGTGTGAAGGAGTATACTGAGAGTGCTTAGTGTGTATCATAATACAGTTAAAGGACAGGAGGTAGTCTTCATGCTCTATAGCACAATAGAGTAACTATGGTGGACAACATTAACCATGCATTTAAAAATAACTCACAGGTTCCCAAGAAATAGAAAATATGTTTTAGGATATATAAATGCTAATTGTGATGATTTGATAATTACACAATATTGAATATATTCATTTATACATCAAATTATAATTTGGTAATTATATAATATTTCTTATATTGAATTACAATATTATACCCCAAATATAAGTACAAATATTATATGTAAATAAAACAATGAAAAAAGGCAGTTTGAAAAAACCACATAATACATACAGAGGAATAAATATAAGAGGATTACAGTAGATTTCCTGTTGGAAGCAATGTAAAAAAAAAGAAACAGTGGAGTAAGATATTTAAAGTTCAGAAAATGTCACTACATATAATTTTTTTCTAGTGGAAATATCCCTCAAATGTTGGTGAAGCTTCAGAAATCCAAAAGAAATTCAAAGAAAATACTAAAAAAATTTTCCTTGTAACTGAAATGTGCACAAATAAGGACTAATTAGTAAGATCTGAAGTTCTTACCTGTGTGTAATGGCCACAAACTTTAGTACATGATAGAGTATCATAATTATAAAACTCTGTTTCATTATACCAAGCAACAATAGCATCCCTTGGTGAAAATATTTTTAATGCACCTAACCAGATATTTTCTCCAAGAAACTGATAATCTTCACTGCAATCAAATGGCATTTGTAAACAGGTGTTGTGTTTAAATTGGCATGTTTCTGCCCATGCTTTAGCCACCCTTGCCAAACCGTCATCCCAAATCTGAAAGATAAGAATAATTTAAATTTAATTTTGCAAGTTTATTTACATAAAAATCATTCTAATGATTGTAATAAATTTTGTTTAAATTACTTAAATAAAGTACAGTTTTTCTTTGGCATTATAATATTCACATTCATTTCTTTTTGTTCTATTTTAGAAACACTTCTCATTCAATGGCAGTCATCTTTGTATTTTCAGTATGTAGCAGATGTCCCGATATATTTGAGACATTCAACAAATAAGTATGAATGTGCTTAACATAGTAATTTCATTTCAAAGTCTAGTAACTCATGAGGTCATGCATATTTACCATAAGTAAAGGATGAATATTTACTGATTATTAACAATGGGAAAACTAGGAATTAAAAGGAATTTCCTTAATTTGGTCAATAATGTCCCCTCAAAACACTCTAAAACATAAATTAATATATAATGGTGGAATAGTAAAATTTTTCTCCAAGATTGAAAACAAACCAACATGTCTGCCCACATTGTTTCTATTTAACCTTATACTATAGAGTACATAGCATAATGAAATTTATATGTTGTAAATATATGAGTTATAAAATGTGTAATAATTGGAATCTATCGTTAGACAGATGATCAACAGATGACATGACTAGGTCTGTAGAACATGCAGATATAACCACAAAAATAAACAAAATTATCCAAGTTTCCCGATATAAGGAAAATACACAAAAGTCAATTTTATTTCCATGTACAGAATAAATAGCTTCACAAATATCAAGTATTTATAAATAAGTCCAATAAGTGATGCTCGAAATCTCTGCTCTAAACCTGTGAAATGTCACTGAAAAGAAATTTAGAAGACTTAAGTAAATGGAGAGATACTAAATGATTATGGATCAGAAGATTCAATGTTGCAAAGAATATTGATCTTGATATTGAATTCATCTGTAATAAAAATCAAGGAAGCATTTTGTGCATATAGATTACAAAACTGAAATGGAAATTCAAAGAAAATACATGATAGTTGCCTTTTAAGGACTAACTTATTTCACTAAGCATAATGGTCTTCTGTTGCATCCATTTTGTTGGAAAAAATAGAGTTTCATTCTTTTTTATAGTTTAGTAGTATTCCATCATGGATATATATATCACAATTTCTTTATCCAGTCATTGGTTGCTGGACATCTGGGTAGATTCCATATCTTACTACTGGAGTTGAGCTGCTATAAACATGAGGGTAGAGAAAACTCTCTCATGTGCTTATTTCATTTCCTTTGGGTAAATTCCCACATGGAATGGTTGGGTCATACATTAGAACTATTTTCAGATTTCTGAGGAATCTCCACAATATCATCCATGATGAATGTACTAGTCTACATTCCCACCAACAACGTATTAGGGTAACTATTCTTCACAGCTTCACCAGAATTTGTTATTTGTCCATTTTTGGATGACAGTCTTCTAACTGGGTTGTGGTGAAACCTCACTGTGGTCTTTATTTCCACTTCCCTGATGGCAAGTGATCTGAGCATCTTTTCATGTATCTGTTGATCATTTGTATTTGAACCTTTGAAAATGTCTGTTTAAATCTTTATCCCATTTTCATTGGACTCTAGGTTTTCTTGTTGAGTTTCTTGGCTTCTTATATACTCTGGATAATATTCCTTAATGAGATATATAGTTTGCAAATATTGTCTCCCATTCTATCAGTTGCCTCTTTGTTCAGTGTTTCCTTTGCTATGCAGGAGCTTCTTTGCTTTATGTAATCTTATTTGTCTGTTTTGGCATATATTGCTATACTTCTGAAGCCTTATTCAAGAAGGCCTTGCCTATGCCAATACCTTGCAGTGTGTCCTCTCTGTTTTCTTCTAGAAATTTGAAGGTTTCAGGTCTTAGGTTTAGATCCTTGATCCATTGTGAGATGATTTTTGTATAGGGCGTAAGAGAATGATCTTGTTTTTCATACTTCTGTATGTAGAGATCCAATTTTCCCAACACTATTTGTTGGGAAATGTCCTTTCTCTAGTGATTTTAGCTTATTTGTCAATGATTAATTGGTTATAGATGTGCAGGCTAATTTCTGGAGTCTTTAATATGTTCCATTGGTCCACATGCCTATCTTTGTGCCTGTATAAGGCTGTTTTGATTATAACTGCACTTTACTACGTCTGAAATCTGGTATTGTGATATCTCCAGCTTTACTTTTTTTTCTTTTAAAGATTTATTTATTTTACTTGAAAGTTAGAGTTACTCAGAGAGAGAAGAAGAGGCAGAGACAGAGGTCTTCCATCCACTGGAATATTCCCCAACTGGCTGCAATGGCTGGAGCTGCGCTGATCTGAAGCTAGGAGCCAAGAGCTTCTTCCAGGTCTCCCACACGGGTGCAGGTGCTCAAGAACCTGCATCCTCCATCACTTTCCCAGGCCACAGCAGAGAGATGAATTGGAAGTGGAGCAGCCAGGACACAAACCGGTGCCCAAATGGGATGCTGACACTGCAGGCAGCGGCTTTCCTCACTACACCACAGCTTTACTTTTATTGATTAGAATTGCTTTAGTTTTTTTTTGCAATCTCTTGTCATTTCGTATGAATTTTAGGGTTATTTTTTCCTAGTTCTGAAAAGAATGTCTTTGGAATTTTGATTGAGATTGCACTGTATCTGGAAATTGCTTTGGGTAGTTTGGACATTTTGATGATATTCATTCTTCCAATCCATGAACATGGAAGATTTCTCCATTTTGTGTGCCTTCATCTGTTTGTTCCCTTAATTTTCACTGTGGAGATCTTTCACATCCTTGACTAAATTTATCCAAAGCTATTTAATTTTTTATAGCTATTGTGAATGTGACTGATCTTATAGTTCTTTCTCAGCCATTGCATTATGCATGTATACAAATGCTATTGATTTCTGTGTGTTGACTTTTCCAGACTTCCCTATGAGTTCCAATATCTCTCTGTGGAGTCTTTTGATTCTCCTATGTATAGGCTTATGTTACCTGCTACAGAGATAATTTGACTTCCTCCTTTCCCATTTGTATTCCTTTAATTTCTTTTTCTTGTCCGATGGCTCTAGATAAAACTAGAACTATACTTAATAGTAATGATAATAGGGAACTCTTTGGTTGTGGATGTTCTCCCCTTTCAATGTGATGCTGGCTGTGGGTCTCATATATTTCCTTGATTGCGTAGAGATATGTTTCTTCTATATCCAATTTGATTAAGGTATTTATCATGAAAGAATGTTGTATTTTATCAAATGCTTTCTCTGCATCTATTGGTTCTTATTCCTTAATTTTAATGTGATTAACACATTTATTAATTTGTGTATGTTGAATCATCCCTGAATATGAGGGATAAACCTCACTTGGTCTAAGTGAGTGATCTTTTTGACATGTTGTTGGATTTGTTGGATTCCATTAGGTATTATTTTGTTGATGGTTTTTGCATCTATATTTTCAGGTTTATAGTTCTTTTCCTTTGTTGTATCTTTCCTGGTTTTGGAAATAATGTAATGCTGGCCTCATAGAATTACTTTTGGAGGATCCCATCCCATTCTGTTCTTTTGAATAGTTTGAGAAGAATTTGAATTAGTTCTTTAAAGATTTGGCAGAAATCAACAGTGAAACCATCCAAGCCTGGGATTTTCTTTGTTGACAGGCTCTTTATTACTGATTCAGTCTCAAAATTGAATATTTGTATGGTCATGCCTTAATTTTGGTAAATTAAATGCATCTGGAAAGCTTTCCATTTTTCAAATTTGATGGGATATGGCTGCTTGCAGTAATTCCTAATGATTGTTTATATTTCTGTGGTGTAATTTATCACAACTCCTTTTCATCTGTGACATTATTAATTTTAATTTTGTTCCTTTCATTCTTGGTTAGTTTGGGCCAATGGTTTATCCACTTTCTTTTTTCAAAAACAAACATTTCATTTCACTTATCTTTTATATAGTTTTAAAATGTATATTTTGTTAATTTTTTCCTGAGTTAGTTGTTTCTTACCTTCTACTAATTTCAGGTTTGGTTTGTTCTTATTTTTCTAGGTACTTGAAATGTATTCTCAGATGATCTATTCGATACCTTTCAAAATTTTTGATGTAAGCATTTATTGCTATAAACTTTTCTCTAAACACTGCTTTTGCTATATCCTATATAATTCATTTTCAGTCATGTAAATGAATGTTTTTATTTTTTCTATGACTCATTGATCATTCAGGAGCATGTTATTCAGACTCCTAGTGTTTGTATATTTTCTAGAGGTTCTTTTGATTATTTCCAGCTTTTTTCTATTCTTATTCCATTGTGGTCAGAAAAAGTATGTGATTTCAAGTTTTAAAAAAAATTTGTGGAGACTTGTTTTATTGCTTGGTGTATGATATTTCCAACAGAATTTACCATACAATGATGAAAAGAGTGTGTTCTACAGCAGTGGGATGGACTGTTCTGTAGATTTCTATTATGTCCATTTGGTCTATAGCATAGATTAGCCTCACTTTTTTGTTGCTGCGGAATTTTACTACTTGATCTATTTGTTGATGAAAGTAACATGTTGAAATTCCCTGGTGCTATTGTACTGGACCTTATGTCTCCCTTCAGAAACATTATTAACATTTGTTTTATAAAAGTGGGTAATTTGAATTGGATACATATACATTTATTATAGTTACATATTCTTGTGAATTGATCCCTTATTAACACATAATGACATTCTTTGTCTCCTATAACAGTTTTTGCCTTAAAGTCCATTTGCTCTGATATGAAGATAATTACTCTTCCTCCCTTTTGATTTCTACTTGCATGGGATATCTTTTTTGTTTTTAGAAAAATTTTATTTAATAAATATAAATGTTGAAAGTACAGCTTTTGGATTATAGCAGCTTTCCCCCCATAACAACCCTCCTACCCACAAACCATCCCATCTCCTACTCCTTCTCCCACCCCATTCTTCATTAAGATTCATTTTTAATTATCTTTATATAAAAAAGATCAACTTAGTATATACTAAATAAAGATTTCAACAGATTGCACCCACACAGACACACAAACTATAAAGTAATGTTTGAATACTGGTTTTACCATTGATTCGCATAGTACAACACATTAAGGACAGAGATCCTACATGAGGAGTAAGTGCACAGTGACTCCTGTTGTTGATTTAACAATTGACACTCTTATGACATCAGTAATCACCCGAGGCTCTTGTCATGAGCTGCCAAGGCTATGGAAGCCCCTTGAGTTCACAAACTCTGACCTTATTTAGACAAGGTCATAGTCAAAATGGAAGTTCTCTCCTCCCTTCAGAGAAAGGTACCTCCTTCTTTGATGGCCCGTTCTTTCCGCTGGGATCTCACTCACAGAGATCTTTCATTTAGGTCATTTTTTGCCACAGTGTCTTGGCTTTCCATGCCTTAGAAACTCTCATGGGCTTTTTAGCCAGATCCGAATGCCTTAAGGGCTGATTCTGAGGCCAGAGTGCTGTTTAGGGCATTTTCCATTCTATGAGTCTGCTGTGCATCCTGCTTCACATGGGTTATCTTTTTTCATGCATTCATTTTCAGTCTGTGTGTAGTTCTACTGGTGAACTGTGTTTCTTGTGGGCAAAATATAGTTGGGTCTTATTTTTAGCCATTGAACTGGTCAGCAACTCTTAATTGGTGAATTCAGTCCATTCACATTCAAGGTTATTATTGGCAAGTAATGACATGATATGGCCATTTTCTCATAAATTATTCTGATGGTTTCTTTTGAGTCTTCTTTGTTCTTTCACTAGGGGTTTTTCTGCTTTCACCTTTTTTTTTTTTTAATTAATTAATTTATTTGAAGGTCAGAGTTACACAGAGAGAGAAAAAAGAGGCAGAGAAAGAGAGAGAGGTCTTCCATCCACTGGTTCACTCCCCAAATGGCCACAATGGCCAGAGCTGAGCTGATCTGAAACCAGGAGCTGGGAGCTTCTTCTGGTTCTCCCATGTAGGTGCAGGGGCCCAAGGATTTGGGCCATCTTCAACTGTTTTCCTAGGCCATAGCAGAGAGCTGGATTGGAAGTGAAGCAGCCGGGACATCCCATATGGGATGCCGGCGCTTCAGGCAGTGCCACAGCGCTGGCCTCTTTTTTGAGATTTTTAAAATTCATTTAAAAGGCTGATCTACCCACACAGATAGAGGCAGAAACAGAGAGAGCTCTTTCATCTGCTGGTCCACTCCCCAAATGGCCACAGTTGTCAGAGCTGGGCCCATCTGAAGCCAGGAGACAAAAGCTTCCTCTGAGCTTCCCACATGGTTGACAGGGCCCTAAGTACTTGAGCAATCCTCTGATGCTTTTCCAGGCACAATAACAGGGAGCTGGATCATAAGTGGAACAGCCAAGCATTGAACCGGTGCCCATATCAGATGCCAGCACCACCGGCAGTGGCTTTACCCACCATGCTGCAGTGCCTGCTTTATCCACCATACCACAGTGCCAGACCCTCTCTGCATTTTTAAAAATAATCTTATGACCATGCTTTTGAATTCTTTTCAAAGCATTTCATCAATATCCTTTCTTTACAATCCACTGTTAATGCATTATGTACCATTAGGGGAGTCACATGGCCTTCCATGTACATGTTTCTTGTGTTTCTAGATTGATTTTTACGCATCTGTGGAATATCTTGTTCACTTAAGGAGGATGGTTTCTGTTGATTGTAGGCTTTATACCTGGAGATGCACCTCTGGGTATTGCTTCATCTTTAGTTCCACTTAATTTCTGCAATGGAGTCTCCCTATGCCTTCATTTGCTGTAGTTGATGTTAGCCATTGTAGGGATCTGGGCTATTCCTCTGGGTCAGTGCAGTCACTGAGATTACTAGTACACAGGTCTTCAAACATCTCTCCATGGACAAACTGGTGTGATGAGTTTCTCAGGAGCTGGGAGCTAGTCTTGCTGGTGTGGTGGGTGTACCTGACACGTAGATTCCAAGCCTGTATCTAAGTTAGGCAGTGGAGATGTGAAGACAGTACTGGCTACAGGAGCTGGTGGATTTAGAGACTCCTAGCTATTTCCTAGATCCAGAGTGTCAAGAATTGCAGTAATGCTGGATAGAAGATCTGGGACCTCAGATTTGGTCTGAGAGTGGTTAGACATGTGAGTGACTGGCTCTGTACTAGCAGGCCAAATGGTCTAAGGCCATGCTCTGTGCAGCTACTTTAGGTTCAAGCATTGAGTGTACAACAGTATCCAAACCTTGGCAGCTTCTGAGGGTGGGGCTGGAGCTCAGGGCCCTGAGACCCTTGCTAGGTCTAGGCCAACCACAGGTACTCTAGACCAGAGAATCCAGCAGATCATCGTATTAATGGTGTTCAACTCAGTACTTAAAGCCCTATTGGGATTCCTGGATAGTGAGGTATTCTGGGCCAGACAGATTTAAGGAGTACCTGAGCTCAAGGAGTATGTTCCGGGTGGGACCAGGGTAATCCAACCTCTGTTTGTAGCTGGGGTTAAGAGTCCAGAGTGACAGTGAGATAGGCATGATGGGGCACTTCTGGCTACAACCACTGGGGAAGAGGAAGTTGGTGTGTTCATTGTCCTAGCTTTCTCTGTGTCAAGGTGAAGTAGCTGATTCACAGCTCATAGTGAGCTCACAGTGCCAACAAACTTCACCCACCCAGATGTGTGCACAATCCAATGCACTGACTCACTTTCTAATGTGTCCTCCATATGCACTTTGAGAGTCATTGCAGTCTGACTAGGTGGGTGCACAGGAACCCAGCTTCAACCTGTGCTGTTTCATGTGGTCAGAGGCAAGTCCTTGGTGCTATTACATCTGCTGTGGCCTCACTGTCACAGCACAGAGTTCTGTGTGTGCCTGGGCCCTGGGGTTTCAGCTTCCCTGCTGTACCCAGTGGACATGTGGGGCTCAATCTTCCCTAGTTAGAATCCAGGGATGTCTCTGGAAAATCCAGGGAGGCCTCTGGAAAGAACACAGGCAAGAGTTTCTTGTGGGCAGATCCCCTCTCAATATGGCATCTCCCTGCAATCATCCCTGTTCTGAGGAGTGGTTCCCCTCTGAAGTCCAGGAACTCTGAAATGTCCCAGGAGCACTCCTCAATGAGCCATTGATATGTCACAGCTGGATACCTCTCCGGGGAGAGTCACCTGGGTGAGAGGTCCACACAGATGGCTCTGCCTATGCTCTCCTGCCCACCTCGCCCCAGAATAGGGAATGCCCATGCCCGGCTGCTCAGACACCAGCAGGATTGGCATTTTTCCTTTTCTCCCCTCTCCAAGCTGCTGTGCCTGTTATAGATGTTCCCTTGTACTCCTACTTCTCTGCTACTGCCTCTGGCACTCTTCCTGCAGCACTCATCTCTAGTCATAGCTGCTTTGGAGTCTCTTGGTGGAGAAGGAGGCAAATACTAGATGTCTGTATACAGCCATCTTGAATCTCCCTATATCTTTATTAATTTCAATAATATTTTATTTCTCTTTCATTTGCCTATGTCTGTAAGTGCCCTTGCATCTTATTAAGTTGCTCCTTTATCATAATCTAATGGACATTTTTATCACTTTTTCCAGTTTTTGACTTAAAGTCTGTTTTATACAAGTATAGTCATTCCTGCCTGCTTTTAGTTTCCATTTATGGGGAATATTTTTCTCCAGTCATTCACTTCTTCTCTATGTGCATTTACTGGTGAAATGAGTTTCTTCTGTGTAGCACTAAGTCTTGTATCCCTCTGCTATTTTTTTAAATATAAAGTATTTTGTGTGTACAGTATGGGAAATTCCAGAAAAACAACGAACAAATCTATGCAATGTGGCTATAAACCTTAGCAATGAAAATCAAGCAACTTCCAAACCCGGATATCTTCCCTTCTGTTCCCCATGGAGCTCAGTCCAGGCAGCCAACAACTTGGAGTTCTCCCCTCTCTCTTCCCTTCCACCATGACCTTGGAGGAGACAGCCCAGCCAAGGTGTGATTGTTTTTAACTGATTTAATTCAAATGCATGGGTCTCCCAGATACCTTAGGATAAACCAGAGACAAGGGCGATCAGCGCCAGTTCTTTCCTTACCATGAATTTCATGTCGGCCGCAGGGGGGCTGACTTTGCCGCGCCATTCGTTGTGGGTTTTGACGCACTCGTCTATAAAGTGAGGGTCTGTGATAGATGGGACTTTGAGAGATTCAGTGGTTACCAGATACAGACCTAAGGTCCACAGGCAACTCAATTTCCTCTTCGGAGACATGGAAAGACGCGGAGGGTGCCCACGCTGCGCGGGCCGGTTAACGGCTCGGCAGTGCCTTTTCCCCGCCCCGGGGACCACGCTCTGTCTCCCTGGGCTCCATCCTCCTGCCCAGGCTCGAGCCCAGCGCGGGGACGCCCCGCAGGCAGGCTGGGTCTCCGAGGGAGGGAGACACCACCCGGATTTGTTGGCAGCAAAGCCCAGGGCGACAGAAGGAAAGCCCTGAGAGCCCTCTGGGGCAGAGCTTCAAGTGCTTTCTGTGGCTGAGATGAGGACTTCCTGCGGGGGGCGCCCGGGTGGTCGTCCCCCTGACGACGTGCAGGCTGCACAGGGTTAGGCAAAGAGCAAGGTGAACTGAATGCTGCCAGTGGGCCCAGGCCTGTGCAAAGCATTGTGTGTTAGCTGGACTCAGCTTCCATGTGCAGCTTTTCTGTTGTTTCAGATAAACTGCAGCACCACGTTGCTCTTTTCCTTAGAGACTGGGAAGAGAGAAAGAATAAGGGAATCTGTCTATTTGGTGACATTCTGTGATCCTAAACCGGCACCTCGTCAGACATTTAGTAATTCACTTCTGTTTTCTTATTCACTGCCTAGATAAAAAAATCTATTTTTATTTGATTTTAAGTCTACTATATCAGGTATAATTTTGTCAGTAGTCAAGTAGTATTTTTTCATGGTTTTAAATGATATTTTCTCAGTATTTATATCTTTCAATTAAATACTTTTACTTAATGATTTAAGTTGCTTGAAATGTCATTTAATTCAAGAGGATAGATATTTACATGTACTGAATATTCAGCCATAGTCTATTAAGTTTGCCAGTAACAAACCAAAATTGAAGAACTCCATGTTGATGAAGGCACTTTTTGCTTTTTAATAGAAAACAAAATTAGACAGTAAAATGAGAAAATGCAAGGATCTTATTGACAATTCTAGTGGATAATAAGGAAAATATTTCTGGTGGCCTACTATCTCCAAAGCAGAGTTTCTATTATAGACTACTTTAGAATTACACAGAAAGATACTTCTGAAAGTTTGTGGAAAATGTCATTAAAAGATACATTGATTTTGGTACAAAATTTTTTGGAATCTATAATTTTTTCATAATATACATTTTCCATGAACATCTGAAGAACCCTTGTACATAGTCCAAAGACATAAGTTTATGTGTGTATACAGATATAAAAATATGTGATATATGTGTGTATATATATATATGTATACATCTCTATATATGTATATCATACAATTACCTGTATATGGGGAGAAAGTGGGAGAGGGCATTTAAGGAACTGGAAACCAAACAACTGGTTACCATGGTATACCTAAATTGACATATAATATTAACCATCATACCCTCTTATTCCTTGAAACATTTCATTTAAATATCTAGTTACTGAATTTTTCCCTGACTCATCACATTTACTTTATTTATAGCTCCTGTTTATAATAAATCCTGAATCCAAGTACTTTTTCCCATTCTATGGATAACCAACATCCTAGTTAGAGCCAATATCCCTTCTACTTTGTTTCTTTGCATCCATTATTATTTCACTGGAATTGATTTTTGTACAGAAAACTTAGATACAACATAAGCTCTTCTCTCTCCTCAAAATCATTCAGAGGACACTCATCACAGGTAATGTCATATCTGGAGTCCAAAGTATAGCTCACTGTGGCCGGTGCCGTGGTGCATTAGGTTAATCCTCTGCCACGTGGGCGCTGGTTTAAGTCCTGGCTGCTCCTCTTCCAATCCAGTTCTCTGCTGTGGTCTGGGAAAGCCCGTTGAAGATGGCCCAAGTGCTTGGGCCCCTGTACCCATGTGGGAGACCAGGAAGAAGCACCTGGCTCCTGGCTTCGGATCGGCGTCGTTCTGGCTGTTGCGGCCATTTGGGGAGAGAACTAAGGGAAGGAAGACCTTTCTCGCTGTCTCTCCCTCTCACTGTCTGTAACTCTACCTCTCAAATAAATAAATAAATAAATAACAAAGTATAGCTCACAAGGTGCTTTATAATCTGACTGTGGAGAACACTTTGGCTGCTTGTTTGCATCTTCTAACTCAGCAGCATCTCTCCTAATTAAGCTGCATTCAACAGCTTGATAAGGATGCTATCTCCTCAGTCCCTCTGTACTTGCTGTTCCCTTTGTCTGCAGTGTTCTCTCCAGAGTTCTCCTCAGTGAAATCTTCCCTGTTGACACTATGTCCCACATCTGTCAGTCTATTCTTAATGCATTAATTGTTACCTGAATTTATATTACTGATTTCTTTAAAATTAATCTGCTCTATTCCATTGTAATCTTCACCAAACCAGTGGTATTTTTTTTCTTGGTCTATCTCTAACACCTAAAATAAGTACTGAACCTTTGGGCCATGAAAAAAATTTGCTGGGTGTATGAATGAAAAAAATCAATACTTTAAAAACAGTTTTATTCATTTTATTTGAATGAAAAAGAGAAAGAGGGAGGGAGGGAGGGACCAAGGGAGGGAGCAAGAGGGAGAGAGGGAGAGAGGGAAAGAGGAAGAGCGAGAGGGAGAAGGAGAGGGAGAGGGCAAGAGACAGAGACAGACAGAAAGAAAGAGGAAGAGAAAGAGAACCTTCCATCCACTGATTGACTCCCCAGATGCCTGCAACAGCTGAGGCTGGTCCAGACTGAAGATAGCCCGGAACTCCATCCTGGTCTCTAATGTATGAGGCAGGGGTTAAGGCCCCTGGGCCATCTTATGTTGCCTTCCCAGGAAAATTAGTAGGTAGTTAGATCAGAAGCAGAGCAGCCTAGGCTTGAAGTCATCTTACAAAATGGGATTCCCAGCATCACAAGGAGTGGCTTAATCTGCTGCTTCACGATGCCAGCCTCAAGTACTTTAAGCTTTCTAATAGAATGATACTTGAAAAGGCTTGTGGAAATGTATATTATGAAAAAACACATTATATACTTCAATATTTATGCACCAACATGAAATTATTTTAAAAAAAAGATGTATTTACTTATTTTAAAGTCAGAGTTACAGATGGGGGAAAAGGCAAAGAGAGAGAGAGAGAGAGAGGTGTCTTTCATCTGTTGGCTCACTCCCTAGATGGCCATAATGCTAGGACTAAGCTAGGCTGAAGACAGGAGCTTCATCTAGGTCTCCTACGGGGCTGGCAGAAGCCCAAGCACTTCCGCCATCTTCTTCTGCTTTTCCCAGGCCATTATCAGGGAACCTGATGGGAACTGGAGCACCTGGGACGTGAACCAGTGCCCATATGGGATACTGGCATCACAGGTGGCAGATTTACCTGCTGTGCCAACAACACCAGCCCAAAAACTTATCTTTTAATTCTACTTTTCTACAAAGTTTTTAAAGTACTCCCATAAGACTGTTTAAAATTATCAGCTTCTTGAGAGCAGACATTATATCACTGTTTCTTATTTGTCATGTATCTCCAAGAGGCTAAATAAATATTCTTGTTTCAATCAGTAGTTTAAAAGAAAGTACTAGGTAGGCTTTGTATACCTTTTCTACTATTGGGTATATTTGTAGATACTAGGTGTTTAATAGATGGTTGTTGAATACATGAAAGACTGAAAAACAAGTAAATGAAAACTTAACAGAAAAGTTGAGTTCCAAATGCAAACTAATTTTGATCTACCAAGTAATAAAGATTGACTGTCTTACAGATAATTTTTCTTATATAAATTTGTTGTAATAACAATGGGTTTTTCATAGAAAAATGAACTGTTTTGAAAATTGTCAATAAAGTACATTTTATATACTTACTACATAATCCAAGGTTATTGCCCTATAAAAGATGTTTTAACAAAATATCTGAATTGTATAAATGTGAGGTTTTTTTTTTTTAGAATATGTTCCTAGTGGTTTAGGATGCTATATTCAGAAATATGGAAATAATTTAGGTGGACTAAATCTAACTCCCAATAACAGATAAGAGTACCTTGTATTATTTTCTTGAATATCTATTGTATAATGGCCACAATTATGTGAACAGTAGAATTTTTTAAGATTGTTGATAAATTTTTATAAGTTGATATTTAGCTTTTGGGTTTTTTCTTTTTTCAGTTTATGTTTGCTTTTCTTTCTGTAAGGGTGTAATAGTGGATGAATTTCATGGAATACAGGGAAGAAATAGAGGGAGTGATTACGGCATAGTTACTGAATTCACTTGGGCCATCTTCCTCTGCTTTTCCATGTGCATTTACAGGTAGCTGTATCAGAATCAGAGCATCTGGGACTAGAAACGCTGCTCCAATATGGGATGTTGGCATTGCAAACTGTGGCTTAAATTGCTGTGCCATAACACTAGTGTCAAGAGGCCTCAGATTTTTCTCTTAAAAATTGAGAAGATCGGGACCGGCGCTGTAGCACAGGGGGTTAAAGCCCTGGCCTGAAGTGCCAGCATCGCATATGGGCGCCAGTTCTAGTCCTGGCTGCTCCTCTTCCAATCCAGCTTTCTGCTATGGCCTGGGAAAGCAGTAGAAGATGGCCCAAGTCCTGGGGCCCCTGTACACAAGTGGGAGACCCAGAAGACTGGCTCCTGGCTTCGGATCAGGGCAGCTCTGGCTGTTGCAGCCAACTGGGGAGTGAACCACCGGATGGAAGACCTCTCTCTCTCTCTCTCTGCCTCTCCTCTCTCTGTAACTCTTTCTTTCAAATAAATAAAATAAATCTTTAAAAAAAATTTTTTGAGAGGATCTCAGGAGGTCAACTGATTGGCTGAAGCTGATCCACTTTGTAAAGAGTAATCTGCTTCCCTCAAGGTATACTGATTTAATATTAGTCATATCTGAAATATACCTTCACAGCAATGTGTAGTCTGCAACTGGGTACCACAACTAGCCCAGCTAACACATAAAATCAGATATCACACACCAAAGTTCTTACAAAATATGGTGAGTTTTGTTTTGTCTGGCAATTAAATTACTGTCAGAATGCCATAAACCTGTCGTGGTTTGGTTTTAGGATTAGAATACTATACTTCACTATCAGTCAAGTATCATCTCATAATTATAATTTCATTTTATCATACTTAATAAAGACATTGTTTTATTAATCTTTTCTTTCAGTTGGTACTATGGGTCATAATTCTAAGATGCATATCTTGGTGCTGGTGCAGTGGCACAGCAGGTGAAGCCACAGACTGCAGGGCCGGTATCCCATATGAACACGTGTTCAAGTTCTGGATGCTCCACTTCCAATCCAGCCCCCTTTTAATGAACCTGGGAAAGCAGGTCTCCCATGTGGGA